TTCGTGGATGAAGCGCACCAGATCATCAAAACTATGCCGTTTGATGCAAACTCCGTTTTATGGAGAACATTGTTGGGTGCTTGTAAGATATATGGAAATATGGAGCTGGCAGAGGAAAGCTTCAAGCGGCTTACTGAGTTGGAACCTCTTACTGATGGGGATTTTATTCTGCTATCAAATGTTTATGCAGAAGCAGAGAGATGGAATGGTGTGGAAGCAGTCAGGAATGAGATGATAGATGTGAAAGTTCCAAAGAAACCTGGCTTTAGCCAGATTTAAGTGGAAATTTATCCTAAGAGATGAGGAATATGGAAATTAGACAAGTTCAAGTCCTCCTTCAGTGCTTTCCCTGGTGTGGTTAAAATGGTAAGAAACTTTGAAATAAGGACTAGTCTCTGGGTTAATGTCTAAGTTTGAACAAAATTAATCTTAATTAAATTTACTAGTTTCATTAATCTTCCAACACACCAAGCATTTTGCAGTAAAACAAATATGACATTTTTTCTCTCTTGTTTTTAATCCATTATGCATGGTGGCTAGCCATGCTTTGTAATTTACCCAAACATAATTTCTTAGATTAAATCCTAAATCATACCCTATAATTAAACCCAGCTTAAATTTATTTTGATCTATTAATTAAATATATTTTTAATTAATGCTCGGGCTGGAATTAATTTATGTTATTAAGTTATGTGACAAATAATTACCTCCACTGATTTTATCATGGCTGTAAAACAATTAATTAAATTTGTTGATAAAATTAATTTCAAATCTTAGGTAGCCGACACTTTATTAAAGTCCTTAATTAAATGCATTATATTATAATGAATACATCTAGTTAATTAATTTCTAGTATTCACATAAAGACTAATTACAATTTTTATTTTTAGTTTATCTTAAAGCTTATAGAAAATTGAATTAGATTAATGCATAAACTTCAATCATTTAATTGCAATGGATTTGTCAATCAATTCTCTTGATTTATAACGTAGTTAAATAAATTATGTTTATTACTTACATCAAAAATAGACACCATGGATGATAAGAAATAATATATAATAATTCTAAGAAGATAATAAATTTGTTTATCGAAGAAGATAATATTTACCCAATAGCTACCGATATATATTTCTATGGATGAATTTTAAGTGATTTGAGAAAATATATTCATTGAATCACATAATGTTATGAACATAGAAATTTAGATTGTTCACCTACTATATTCACATGATAGTATCTCATTTTTTTTATCAAGAGACGTGGATTATTAACTTATACAAATATGACTTTATGCAATTTAAATTACAATTAATAATTAACTTAGTTCGAAACTATAAATAAAATAATAATAATAACCTTTCAATACAAAATATAAATAATCTAGTTACAGTGCAACTTTAGTAAATATTCTTATGTTGTTATTATGATTAGGTTCTTGTTTGACACACAGTTGAGTTCAGTAAACTTGTTGTGATAATTTTGTTTTAGTGTTGAATGTACCAATGTTTAATGAAATTAAATTCTCACCATAATAACATAATGTATATTGGCCTATATGGATATTTTAACATTGTTTTTAATGATGATTAAATATTTAATGAGTTACTTTATTGTAAATGTGTTACATTATTATAATCTCATCACCATCATATTGACATTGCATAATCCAATTGAATATTTAGCATTATGATTTCAAGATTTTGTCTTACATTATTATAAAATTATATTTGAAATAAGATTATAATAATATCAACCGATAGACATTAAATATGATTAGCTAGTTAAGAAAGCTAGTTGTTTTGGAGTTGTGTATGGAGCTGGAAAATTCACAGCAAAATGCAATATTCATTCATGACAATCTTGGTTAAGAGGAGAATACATTTATAGAGCTCTTTGGCTCTTGATAGACAGAAAACAAAAACAACACAGAAGACACAGAAAACCAAAAATAACGCGCACAGAGCAGGAGGTACATGCAGCTTTAACGGTTTTCAGAGAGGGATGATTTGGCTCTTAAACAGAGGATGATTGCATTCCAGTTGTCGGCCATGCGTATTTGTCGGCGATCCAATTGATGAGTTGGCATGCTGACTGGAATTTTCTGTTGAGCTGGGCAAGTTGGCACACTTGTCTTTCAAGAGCGGCTGTTGCTGGTTGTTCCTGTTATCAACATCCCCCTTCAAACTTGTCAAAGAAAGTGGTCGGTGAACCAGTCCAAGTTTTTCCCTGAAATACTTAATCTATGTTTGTGATAGGGCTTTGGTGAAGCAATCGACAGTCTGATCACATGAAGGTACGTATCTAACATCTAGAGCTCCTTTTGTCACTTGGTCACGAATAAAATGAACGTCCACTTCAATATTTTTGGTTCGTGAATGAAAAATGGGATTGCTTGCAAGGGCCACGACACTCATATTATCACACTAGGCTACCAAAGTTTGTGGAGTAGTTACATTTATCTCTTTAAGTAGGGATTCCAGCCAGATAATTTCACAGGTAAGAAGAGCCAAGGCTCTGTATTCGGATTTCGTACTTGACCTTGACACAACATTTTGCTTCTTAGAGCTCTAAAAGATCAAGGTTTCTCTAAGATAGACGCAATAGCCTGAAGTCGAGCATCGATCATCCTTTGAGCAGGCCCAGTCGGCATCCGAATACCCAACAATATTTAGTCTATCACTAGGTTTGATATGAAGACCGACATCAGTCATTCCTTTTAAGTATTGGAGGACTCTCTTCAAAGCTTTCATGTAAAGATCAGTGGGTTTTTGCATGCATTGGTCAAGTTTGTTAACAATAAATGATATATCTGGCCTTGTGTGAGTTAAATATTGAAGAAACCCTATTATTTTCCGATAGGGAGTTGGATCTTTCAGTTCTTCCCCTTCTCTAGTGGATAAATTGTTCCCGAGAACAGCTGGTGTCAGACAAGCTTTAGCAAATATATTTTATTTGGGTGAGAAAGAGACCAATGTCATCACATGTTGCTTTAATGCCGAGGAAAAGATGGATGTCTCCAAGGTCTTTGAGTGCAAATGAGTTGTGAAGTCAGTTGATGACATTTTGCATCATTTCTGGTTGTTTCCTATAACTATTATGTTATAACATAGATTAGGATAAAGATTTGGGTTATCCCTGCGAGGAAGAGAAAGAGAGATATGTCTGCTTGTGAGTTCCTGAAGCCCCACTCGATCAGTGAGGATTTGAGCATGTCAAACCATGCTCGTGGAGCTTGCTTGAGACCATAGAGCGCTTTATTGAGTTGATAGACTTGGTTGGGGTGTTTGGGATCTTTGAAGCCTTCAGGTTGTTTCATAAAAATCGTCTCTTTCAATTCTCCATTCAGGAAAACATTGTTTACATCCAGCTGTTTGATATTCCAACCGTTTGTTATGACTAACACCAAGATCACTCGAAGTGTTGATGTTTTAATCACTAGGCTGAAGGTTTGATGGAAGTCTATTTCAGGTATTTGATGAAACCCCTTTGCTACTAATCTGGCTTTGCACCGTTGGAAACTTCCATCAGCATTGGTCTTGATTTTGTAAACTCATTTGTTGCCAACCAGATCATTTCAGGTTGATGAGGAACCAGCTTCCATGTTTGATTATTCCTGAGTGCAGATAGTTCTTCTTCCATAATTGACTTATAATGAGGAATTCTGATTGCTTCGGCGATGGAAGTAGGTGTTATAAGGCCTATTACCATCACTACTTTGAATAATTAGAAGTCTTGTGGCATATTCCTTGGTTTAAAGATCCCTGGTTGAGCTCTGGTCATCATCTGGTGTCTTGGTGCTTCTGTCAGCGTATTTTCAGCTTGTATTCTCCCTTCTTCTTGTTCTGATGGTGTTATGCTTTGAATGAGAGAAGACACTGGTTCTTCATCTCTTGGTGAGCGTTGTGGTGAGGACTCTGCCACATGAGAGGAAATTGGTGCTAGAGGTTCTTCAACGACTTATCTGCTTGGACATTCTGGGATAAGAGGTGTAGGATTGGAAGATATGTTCAGCCAAAAGGGGAGTGTGATTGTAGAGACATTTTTGGGTTGATGTGCTTTTACGAAGCCATGGTGATAGGGAAATTCGAGTTCATTGAAGACAACATTTTTATAAACATATTTTGCTAATGGAACTGAGACATTTGTACCCCTTGTGCAGTGGACTGTAACCAAGAAAAACACATTTTGTTGAGTGGAAGGAGAGTTTGTGGTTTTGATATGGTCGTAGGCACGGGAAACAGGCACACCCAAAAATCTTCAGTTGTTTGTAGTTAGGCCTTTTGTGGTAAAGTTTTTTAAATTTTAACAATGAATTTAACAAATTATAAACCAACCAAACCTTCACCAAAAAAAACAAACCTAACTTAATCAAATTGGGTAAATTTAGTGGAATTTAAATAAAGAAAACGAAAGCAAGGGTAAATTTGTTAAGTACTATGGTTGAAATTTAGAAGAAGTTAAATGAAAATAAATTATCACGTAACGCGATGGACGGTCCAGATCAAACGCGAAGGACGGTCCAGATTAAACGCGAAGGACGGTCCAGATCAAATGCGATGGACGGCTCAGATTAAAAGAATGATATAAATACCTCACTTCACACCAAACTCTAACCCTAGCCATCAGCCTCCCCACCGGAGAAGAAGAACCAGTCGTCGGGAAGGGAGTCAACTGTCACCCGTCGCCACGTCGGAGCCACCTCCGATCGCCAAAAAAGGTAAAAATTCTCTCTGTCGCTTGAAATTTTATTTTTAACACCACATGGCCAAATAGGAGCAAAAGACCGATGGATGAGTAAAAAATTGCAGGTAAAGCCCAGCGGCGGCGCCACGGAAAAAATAAAAAATCGCCTCCGATGAGGCCCTTCCCGATTCCTGTTTCATACAATTTTTCCACCATTGTATTCACCATTTTATTTTCCACAGGTTAACCGAAGAAAAACGTCCAATCGTGAAGGTGAGCTGGCAGAGCCGTCGCACCCAAAAACAGTAAGCTTCTGATTTTTTACTTTTTTCGGCCAACCGAGGTCCCTTAACGTATTTTCTCACAGGGATGAGTATAAAACTGGTCGAAATCGGCCACAACTGCCCGAAAATGGCAAGCCCGAGGCAAACCACCGCTGTAGGCAGCGGTGGTTCAGATTCCATGTTTTTCAATAGAGTTTCAGATGAGCTCTCCTCGAGATTGAACAGGTTTACATTCAAATACCATCATTTCCTCTTTTTTTGTCCTTTTTATCTTAAAAGCTAGATAAGAACACAAAATGATGCAGAAAATCA